AGGGATTGGGGGAGGGGAAAGATTAATTGATAAAGTGCTTGGATGTTTTTTCCCCTTCAAAAATCTTAACCATGCCACCATGTCAATAGGTACCTACATTAAAAAGAAAAAAAACAAAGACGTCATTTATTTCTCATTTATTACCAACTTTCTCAAAAACATCTTGTTCCAAATACATTCCGAATTTATTTACCTATACATATTTTTACTAAAATTAACCTTAAAATGTTATGTATAAAATATTTTAATTAATTGTTATAACTTAAAATACTCTAATAGCTAGCGTTCTTACATTTTTTCAAATATATTTCTTATAACTAAATTATTTATCTAGATTGAACCTTGAACGAATTCGACGTGAACCATCAGTTGACTGGACATCTACACTACACGAGTCACTGTTTACATGTGAACATTAGCTCATGACGATACCAGCGTCCGTGTCACTGGACAGTGAACCTCGCTACCATCAGTTGACTGGACATCTACACTACACGAGTTACTGTTTACATGTGAACATTAGCTCATGGCGATACCAGCGTCCGTGTCACTGGACAGTGAACCTCGCTACCATCAGTTGACTGGACATCTACACTACACGAGTCACTGTTTACATGTGAACATTAGCTCATGGCGATACCAGGTTGACTGGACAATCTCTATAACATGAGCTGATGTTTACATTATTATCTTGGTACCATCTTCAGCTTGTAAAAGAATACTTCAAAACCATATTCGTACATTCGATTACCATACTTTTTTTGGCAGTATTTAAAAATTATAAATATAACCTTAAAATGCATGTCAAATTATATTGTCAATTTATTTATTAATTTAAGTGTGGGAGAGCCACAAAGAGTACCTATGTAATAGCTAACGGAGAGCCATGCTTCGACACGACTGGACCGGGTCAACTAGAGTCATACCACAGCCTCCCAGAAGTCCAGCGTGACAAAATACTTGCATTGTAAATTAGGTTAGTGTGTTAGTGAGTAAGGTCCATTTTTGCCCCAATTGGTTTTTGTTTTATGTAATATGGTAATATGCTAACAAACGAACAGACGGATTACCTTATGGTAAGCAATCGGCGCCGCTTATACAATAGAGGAGTTTGCAAGTGCTTTACCGGTATTATGGAGATAAGGGGTTTTTGGCTTTCACGATTGTTGCAGTGTCTTATAAAAAAACTATATTATTTCGTTTTAATTCTATGTATTAAGTGTGGGAGAGTCATGCTACGGCACGAATGGGCCGGCTCGACAGGAGTGATACTACGGCCAAATAACCATAGAGTTGTGTTTCGCCGTGTGAGTGAGGTTACAGGAGGCCCAATCCTTCCCCTACCCCAATCCGTTCCTTTTCCCAAAATCTCCAAATCCCTTTTCTCCAAAAGGTCAGCAACGCACTCGTAACACCTCCGTCGTTGCGGGTGTCCATGGGCGACGCTGATTGCTTACCATCAGGTGATCCGTTGGCTCGTTTGCCAACCTATCACAAAAAAACAATGTATCACATCACCAACATGTCAAAATCAGAATCTGGTCTCCAAAAATAGATCTCGCTAAAGTTTCTCAAAACCTCTATGCCTGACAGAAAGGTAAGGTTAAAATTAATTGCAGGACTAAAAATACAGGTTAGAGGTTCAAAGTATAATTTTAAATACATTTTGAAATTATATTCATTCAACATTGACTTGCAACCAACAATAAAATAACACATACCAAAAAAAAAACAAATAATTATTTCATTCAAGTAATGAAACTTTTTGGTCAATACGCATTTTGGCACTTTTTGAAAAGCATATATTTGGCATACAATTTTGGCACACACCGTAAAACAATATTTTGATTGGGTGATCTAGAAATGTGGCTGTATGTATTCCGTTGAGTTGATCGTGTTCGTCGCGTTCGCAGCGTCGCGTCGCGTCGAGTTCGTCGCTCACGCAGGACACCGCGTTAGTCAGTAAAAGTCTGACACTCCCACTAGCACCGCCCAGGGTCAATAGAAGTCATTTGATCATAAAAACCCCCCAAAAAAATCCTAAAGCCATTATCCCGGATAATTTGACACCGATAAATGTACCATTATTTTTCAAAATCAACAACAAATTCCTATATATTAAATATTGAGTTAAATTCGTTGCCATTTTGAATATAAATATAAATACTTATAATAGAGTCTCCCGTTATTAACTGATTGAGATGGACAACACAGAGACGCAATTACTGAGCGTAACAAGCCGTGTGATGTTTCATATAAAAGAAATTAACTACTGAAGCTACTTCCTTACCGTAACCTTGAAGAAAATATTTACTGTAACAAATTCGTCTGGTTATTATGTAAGTATATTTACATTTTTTTCTTGTACTATAAATACATATGCAATTATGCTTGCTAAATAATATTTCGGTCAAGATCGATGTGAAACGTTTGTAAACAGACCATCATCAACATCATCATCATCAGCCTATCAGTGAGAAGGTTGTTTTCTTTTTATATTTCTCTGCATTAACATTAGTGTTAAACTGTTCTCACATAATTGAACCAATTGCTTGTAAAAGGAATCTGTATGTGAAACTGATTTAAAAAGAGTAACCATGGAGTTTCTTGCTCGTTCTTCTCCATCGGAATCTACACTTTTGAATGAGCAAATAGCTTCACTGAGAGGACTGACCGTTAGACTGACACTATATCTTCAAAATTTTTTTTGACGTTCAAAAGTGCCTGTAAGGGTCTAATTGGAATAAATGATTTTTGACTTTGACTTTGAGTGTGGTTGATCAAAGGCCTCTTCTCACACGGAGAAGATTTGAGCATTATTAACAACGCTCGCTCAAGGTGGATTGGCGATTTCAAACTTGTGATTAGAAATTATAAGTCCAGGTTTCCTCACGATGTTGTCATTCAGCGTTTGTCAGTGGTGTCTAAATAATCATAGAAAGTACATATGACTTGGAAAAAGTCACATTGGTAAATGCCAGGTAGGCAAATCAAAATGGTAGAACTGCTTCTCTATACGTATTTCCACATCGTGCATTCTGACTTTCACCCTTTTCTCACTGTATTTACTGATAGTTCTGAATGATGACAAAGTGATTTAAACACAAGGAAGCGCTATTGACATACTATAGATGCAGATGTCCCGAGCGTACGGCGCGTAGCATTCCAATGAGCCAATAGACCGCCACAGACGGGGCCCTATTGGGCTGATGTTCAGCCAGGGTTGCGGGGTAAGCGCAATGTGGCACCGTGACCTCGGCTTAAAGCAGGAGAAGGAGGTTTTTAGTCAGTAAGAGTCTGACACTGTCTCTCGCCTTATCCTGGGCGGGAGGAGCCATTTGACGATTTTCCCCTCACAATAAAAAATGTGCACCGAGCACGCGGTGGTTGTTCATCGGGGAGAAGAGGTTAACAAACCTCCGTTTCGATAATGAAATCGTGCTCTTCTCGTCTTCAGCATCAGAACTAGGCAACATGATCAACGAACTTAGCAGAGAGCCTTGAGGTTGCACTGAAGATGAATGAGTCAAAAACTAATGACAAATGGTCCAAAACACAGGTTGGAATTAGATGGAGCACAAATTGCATGCGTCCAGGAATACAACTATCTGGGCCAACTAGTTTCTTTCCAGGCGAGACAAGAAAAAGAAGTTATTCGACGTACCGAGAATGCTTAGATGGGCTATTGGTCCATGAGATACCTAATAAAAGCAATCTTCCCCTGGCGCTTAAAAGGAAGCTCATGGACGTGCGCATTTTGCCCATCCTCAACTTCGGCGCTCAGACCTGGTCTTTGACAAAACATCAGAAGTCCATACTCAAGTGTAGAGAGGAGTGAAAGAAGAGTAGGGAGGTCTTTACCCTTTTTTGTCAGGGGAAAATCATCCAATGACTTCTCCCGCCGAGGGTAAGGCGATAGAGAGTGTCAGACTCTTACTGACTAAAAACCCCCCTGTTCCTTCTCCTGCTCTGGGCCGAGGTCGCGGTGCCTCATTGCGCTTACCCTGCAGCCCTGGCTAAACATCAACCCTGTTGGGCCCCGTCTGTGGTGGTCTACTGGCTCTTTGAGGCGCGCGCGGAACGCTACGCGCCGTACGCTCGGGTCTGGTTCTGGTCGGGCGGCGAGCTACCCTTACTCGCCGTCCGCAGACCCGCGCTTACGGTGGCCGGAGATCATCTCTCGGGAGGTCTTTACCCTTCAGTGGGACGATAAAGGCTGATAAAAAAATTATAATAATAAATGTAGTCCTCACTCTGTAGTTTGTCTACCAACATTTTAGATCGATCTTGTTCAAAGTAAAAGGTACTTTAAAAAACCTGGTCAACTTGAAAATCTATTTTATAATAGATATATATTATTATTTTATCAATTTATATATATAGAAATATTATATAATACTTAAACCTAAAACAACAACACACAAAAATCGTTTTATAAACACTCTTCCAACAATTCTTATTAAAATAAAATAAAACACTTTTTTAAAAAGTCACACTCTCACGATTTAACACATTTTTTTTTAATTTATTTAACTTTACATTATTTGTAGGCCTTTTTAGTTTAAACACTCGTTCTGTTGACCTTTTTCTTAAGGTTATGCGATAATTTGAACATGTTTCTTCTCGCGAGGTTCCTTTAAAACGTAGGATGTCGTTCTTCTTAGAGATCCGACGGAATCTGTGGAAAAAGGGGTGTAAAATTTCAATTTAAAAAAATTCAAGATTTAAATAATTATTGATTGAATCAAAAACCTAATTTACTATCACTTAATTGCTAAGCCATTAAAAATATAAACTAAGGTTTAAGACCAAAGTATGAAGACCACACACATCGTATGGTTTAGATTAAAGAAAAGAAACATAAAAAATACTTAGTTGTTTTTTTTTTACTTACAATTGTTACATCTGTTGTTTACTTTTATATTATTTAATGTTGAATCTTTATAGCTCCCATATTATGTAGATATTTTTGTAAAAACTGAATATGAAGCAAAATAAATATGGTCAAAAATTCTAAAAATTTATGGGTCCTAAAACAGTTCCCTGTGGCACACTTACTGCAGTGCTGGGGCGCCCTGGGCGGCGGGGGCGGGCGCGCGGGGGAGGCGGGCGCGGAGGCAGGCCCGCGCCCGCCGCGCCGCTACGACCAGCGCAGCTCCTTCAGCTCCACGCTGCTACTGCGAGACTGCTGGTCATACGTGTCAAATGCTTCACTTAAATCCTAACACACCATAACATTTAAAACAGATGGGTATAACATTATAAGAGGCTTTTGTTTTGTTTTTTTTTTAAACGTTGCCACACATTATGATTTTCTCCTGTGTCGTGGGTGCGGTTACAAACATACAATTTCACAAACACATGACACCCAGACCCGGAACAACAATTTGTGGATCACACAAAGAGTTGTTCCGTGCGGGAATCGAACCCGCGACACGACACCGGACCAACCGTGCAGTCAATTTTAGCAGGCTTTTGAACAATCAATTTTAAAAAGCTGTATATCTGGAAATGAAACCCATAAATCTATATACTTTGGAAGTAATAGTTATAATTTCAGGTTTTAGGTATGTTAGTACAAAATCTAGTAAAACAATTCTTATAAAATATGCGTGTGTCCTATAAAATATGTCGATTTAGATAGACTGAAAAAAATATATGCAAAACATTTACGTCATTTCCACTCAAATACCTTGTTGGACCTTTGAGTTTAATTTGGAATTAAAGAATTAAGAACTACAATCTGACCTGGTATCTAGAAGTAGATGGAGGCACGTGTGTGGCTGGCGAGCACCTGGAACATCCAGGTCTTAATACTGTTCTGCTTGAGGAGCCGCCTCGCATAGCTGTTCTTAGCTCCTGGAATATGGGGAGCAAGATACATATTGAAAACTTTTATCAAAACATGTGTGTATTCGTGTCCATTCGAGAAAATGGATGCTTCAAGAAAAGAGTATACTCCTTCTTAAAAGGTCTGCATTGTAGCTGTGATTCCTCTGATGTTCATGGGCAGCGCTGATCACTAACCAACAGGTGATACTTGTCCCAATATTTTCATTCGCAACATTTAATTTTTACATATCTGTGTGTGCATGTATCTTTACCAACAACTCATATGAAGTTCCTCTGGTATTATAGGTGTCTTTGGCCGGCGCTGAGCAATTACTATTAGGTGTCCAATATGTTGATTTACCCTTTTTTTAAAGAGGGAAAATCATCAAATAACTTTTCTCACCCTGGGTATGACAACAGAGAGTGGCAGACTCTTACAACCTCCCCGTTATTTCTCCTGCTCCAGGCTGAGGACGTGGTACCGTTGCGAACTTTACCACATAGTATATAATATTTAAAAGAAAACGTGGCGTTGGGGACCGATCCATACATTTTTTTACCAACTACATATTTCTATTTTGTCGGGGGTCTAATTTTTTTTTATTTTACACTTTTTATATCATTTCCTCTCGATTAAGTCATCAACATTCCCTGTCAGTGCGTTTTCATTTGAGACCCCACGCGAGTATATTTGCAGACCTTCGGTTACCCTTCCCCACTTACCCCCCATAACTTCTAAACGGCTCAACCGATTTTCGTCAAAAATGGCTAAGAACACTCGCACGTAAGTCACCTTTAATACAAAATAACCAAATTGAAATCGCTTCACCCGTTCAGGCTCCTGGATGCCACAGACAGACAGACAGACAGACACGTCAAACTTATAACACCCCTCTTTTTGCGTCGGGGGTTAAAAAGAAAGTCTTTTTCTCTGCCCCTACGCAACAGATTTTGTGAGGTATGTTTACATGTATACCAATAATAACATGCTTTACACGATAGGGGACAACATGTGGGCCACGCTAGCAGAGGATTTGCCCTCAACCATATCTGGGGTGTGATTCTGTAAGACTTCATTCTAAACTTCGAATCTGAATCCGCTGTGAGTAGTAGTACACTAGCGCTACACTTGCGAGTTGAACTAAATTGACCGCAACATTTTGATAGATAAAGTATGAGATGACGTTAAAAGTGGCACTTTAAAATTTAATTTCCCCGTCATTTCGACGCTCACTTCGCACTCGAACACGATTCAAAACCAAACAAATTTTATAGAATCGACGTGCTGACTGCAGTAAATGACTCAAATAGTGGCGAATTTAGTATCAACAATGCACGAGTGCGAAGTCGAGGCGAATAGTGTCGCTATACTATAGTCGCGAGTGTCTTATAAAGAAATCTTCTTACCTGACCCATCTCACTGCAGAGTGACTGCCTCCCCTGGCTGGCATTCTTCTTCGTGTTCCAGCAGAACTCGAGTATCGCCACCACTATCGCCAGAGCCAACCCGCACAGTAATGTCACGAATACTCCACCTGGTAACGTTTAGTAGTCAATAAACTTCATTAAAGACAGCATAAATGAAACAATGAAACAATGAATTTATTTTTGCAAATAGGCCATAAAACGGCACTTTTACACGTCAATTTATATGTGAAAAACTAGATGAAGCCGGCATTTCCTATCTGACTACTCTGAGAAGAAATGCCGAAACAAACTCAGAGGTCAGTCTCTTTTCAAGTCCAGACAATGTAAAAATAACATAATGTGAGAGAATCGTGCAAGTTCATTCTGTAGTGGTCTTTTGAGGAAAGAACCACACCAGTTTAAGTGGACCCGTTCTGAAGACAGGCACGCAAGTGTCAGTTTGCAACCAGTATAGCTAGTGCTGCTGAGTTGTCCGACGAACAATACCGATCTAAAGAACATTTGGGTGGGTCGCGCAAGTACTCAAACTGTCAGAACGCAGATAACTGGTAATCAAAAAGCACGGCAAGTCTCACATGGTCCTTACACTAACAATAATATAAAATAATAAAAATGTCAATAACTAAATAAAAAAAAATGTCAAATAAAAAATAAAATGTCACAATAGGTGATTATGTCATTGTATAAAAAATAAAAAATAAACGTAATGTCAAATTGTATATAAAATTGTAACTTATGTTACAAACATGTCAACATGACCTGTGCAGACATTACAGCGGCTCATTCCCATGCCTGACTATCCTCTAAGTAGTCTTTTATTTTATAAAATGCTTTACAGCAAAGTTTAGCCTTTATTACACTTTTAAATTTATTGAGGCTCAAATTTTGAATATCGCTAGGAATTTTATTGTAAAAGCGTATACATTGACATCTAAACGAACTAGTTATTTTCTGAAGCCTGGAGGCAGTAGCGAGGTTTTCTGGTAAAGTTACCAGAAAACCTCGCTACGATCAGTTGACTGGACATCTACACTACACGAGTCACTGTTTACATGTGAACATTAGCTCATGGCGATACCAGCGTCCGTGTCACTGGACAGTGAACCTCGCTACCATCAGTTGACTGGACATCTACACTACACGAGTCACTGTTTACATGTGAACATTAGCTCATGGCGATACCAGCGTCCGTGTCACTGGACAGTGAACCTCGCTACCATCAGTTGACTGGACATCTACACTACACGAGTCACTGTTTACATGTGGACATTAGCTCATGGCGATACCAGCGTCCGTGTCACTGGACAATGAACCTCGCTACCATCAGTTGACTGGACTGGAATATAAACTTACCGATGTTTTGTACACCCAAAGGGTTTGCCTTGCTGTCTTTTCCATCTCTATTGCAGACATCTCCCGTATTCTTCCACCATTTATCGTATAATATTTGTATAACTCCTTTCTCCTGTAATTCTAGGATGGCTAAAGAGATTTTATCTCTCCATGGACTTCCCTTCCATGTTGCTATGCCGTAACCCTGGAAGTTAAGGAGATCATTTTGAATCAAAGTCGAAAGTCCGAAAGTCTAATAAAGGATTTAAACAAACAAACAAACAAAAAGTATTTATTCGCGTCTGGAACGCGTAAAAGACACAAAACGAACAATAATAAAAATAAAGGTAAAAATAAAAATACATAAAGAATGATAATACAATGCAACAAAAGTAGAGAGTAGGAGAAAAATATGCGTCCGAGCACGCGAAATGGCCCTCGCTCAGCATTATGCAGGCCCCATACGAGACAGTGTCGCGGCGCTGATTTTCAGCGATGGCCGATTTATTTATTTTAAGACTTTGTGTACAAAGGAAAACTTAATGACCAAAGGCATTCTCCACCAGTCAATCTCAAGGGTAATGCAGATAATGGATGCATCTTTCTAAGGACCGATTTTTCAATAGTCAGATAAATGTTATATGAGGAATAAAATTGTTGCTTTCACTGTCTTATACAAACATTCTGACGCGACAGCATCATAATTATTCCCCAAGTAACTTTTATTTAACTATTGAAAAATCAGCCCTAAGTCAGAAATAATTATATTTGGTTTACAATCCTCAGTTTCTTTTCTAAGAAGAGATCTAAACAAACAAACGTATCGTATAATTGGGAGAAAGCCCAGCTTCGTCCCAAATGGGTTGGCACGGCCGGAGTGATACCAAGGCCTCACAGAAAACCAGGTTGAAACCACCTCAGCGTTGTGTTTCGCCGTGTGAATGAGTTTACCGAAGACCCATCCCTTCCCAATTCTTAAATATCCGAATTCCTTATCCCCAGAATGTCCATGGGCGACGCCAAATGCTTACCATTAGTTAATCCAGCTCGTTCTTGCCAAACTATCTCATAAAAAATGGATCAAAGCAATATCAAAGAGTACTATGACGACCTTGTTCTATCTTCTGTTTTTATTTAAAAAGTATTTAATGTTCAAAGTGATAAAAGGTACGTATAATTTAGAAACTCCTTTGATAACCCCATCTTGAGTTAAAAACCAAATGGTCACGGCATGGGCGGGAGAAGTCATTTGATGATTTTCCCCTCACAAAAAAAAATCCTTATGACATCTATCAATACTCCACATGCATTTTGTAAGGAAGTGTCATGCTCCAGCACGAATGGGTCGGTTCGACCGGAGTGATACCGCGGCCTTGTTGTTAACCACAGCGTTGTGTTTCACCGTGTGAATTACGTTACCCGAGGCCCTCCCTCACCCGCTTTTCATCCCTTCCCAAATATCCTTCAACATCCAAAGCTTTTATCTCTAAAAGGCCGACAACACACTCGTAACTCCTTTTGTGTTGCGGGTGTCCATGGGCAGCGCTGATAGTCTTCCATCAGTTCATCATAATCCGTCTTTTTTTAATATGTAATAGGTCGGCAGACGAGCAGATGGATTATCTGATGGTAAGCAATCAGCGCCGCCCACGGACGCCCGCCACGGAGGAGTTACGAGTGCGTTGCCGACCTATTAGGGATTTGGAGATTTAGGGATTGAGGAGGGATTGGGGGAGGAGAAGGATTGGGCCTCCGGTTACCTCACTCACACTGCGAAACACAACGCTGTGGTTGTTTCACGCCAGTTTTCTGTGAGGCCGAGGTATCACTCCGGTCGAGCCGACCCATTCGTGCCGAAGCATGGCTCTCCCACACATACCATAAAACATCACAACACAAAAAGTAATTAAAACACTTACCTTTGAATCTAAGAGTCCTCCAATTTGCGTCAGATTGCAGTCCCTTTGGACCCTATGGTCTAGCATGGTGGATTCCATGAGGAAGGCATAGTTTCCCGCAAGAACTCTCCTCACTCCTTCCTCGTAGGACGAGACCAGGGCCGGAGGGGAGGCACTGGACATGTGAAGCCACATCTTCTGGTATATGTCTATGTTGGAATCCTGGAATGTCCAATTTCAGTGTCAGTATTTTTAACCTGTCATGGTGGATCAGAGGTTAAGGCGCCCGCTTCTCATGCATGAGGGTTTGAAACCTCGCAAGTAGCAATGTGGGTATCTATGATTATTTAGACACCACTGACATACGGTGAAGGAAAACATCGTGAGGAAACCTGGACTTATAATTTCGAATTATAAGTTTGAAATCGCCAATCCGCCTTAAGCAAGCGTAGTGATTAATGCTCAAACATTCTCCGTGTGAAAAGAGGCCTTTGCTCAGCAGTGGGCACTTATAAGAAGATTCGTAAAAACAAGAGCAGAACTGAAGGAATTGCTCAGTTAATTTGAGGCCGGCTATACATTTGTACGAGTACGAAGATACTACGAGTGTCCATGGGTGGCGTTGATTGCTTACCACCAGGTAATCTGTCACTGCTCTTTTGCCGACCTTTGCCACAAAAAAGTGTAATTGCCTCATCGGATTTGTTCGGTTATTGAAAATTCTCAAGGTCAAGCAGTAAAGTATTAGGCTAGGTATACGGCAAAACTTTAACTTCCCTCATACCTTAAATGATATGAGCTCCAAATAGGTTTTTAGTCAGTAAAGTCAATTCGCTCATGGCTTGAGGATCAATCAACTCTTGGATGGCAAACAAGGGTAGCTTGCCGCCCGACCAGAGAACTAGACCTGGTCGTATGGCGCTTAGCGTTCCGCGCGCGCCTTAAAGAGCTAATAAACCATCACAGACTAGCACATTAGATCCGATATTCAGGCGGGATTCCGCAGGAGATGGAACAGGGGGGTTTTCAGTCAGTACGAACCTGACTCTTTATCTCTCCCTCTCCCTCTCTCAGACATTAAATGATTTTCCCTCCAGAAGAAAAGGATTAACCAAGTCAAAGAAAGGGTCAAATAGTTCCAACTTCTACAAGGATCTTCTATTAACACTTACCCTAAAAAATGACATGGTGGATCCTCCGTTGAGGGTGCCGTATTGAATGCTGCTCTGCGCAGCGAGGTCTGCAGCGCTCTGTATTGGCAGTACCGTCCGTTCAACTGTTAGAAACGCGGCCAAATTCGCAGTGTACGATGATAGGATGATCAGGGTGAAAAACCACCATATGCCACCGACTATACGGGTGGAAGTCGCCTGGAAGAGATGATAAGTTTATATAGAGATTAGGATTAAGAGCTGAATGTCATTACTTTAGAATTGAAATCTTTGGCTAAGTGAGAGAACCATGCTTTAGCACGAATGGGCCAGCTCGACTTGAATGGCGCTACCAGAGCAACCAATCCTCCCCCATCTCCACTACCCAAATCCCTAACCTCTACAAAACACTTCTAACTCCTCAATGCAATAAAATACTTCGACAAACTTTATCCGTTATCAAATAAAACCTTATGGTAAGCAATCGCCACCATCCATGGACTCCTGCAACACTAGAGGAGTTACGAGTCCGGGGGATTAGAGTTCCGGAGGAGATTTAGGGAGGAATTGAGGAAGGATGGGGATAGAGAAAGGATAGGGTCTCCGGTAACCTTACACATGGCAAAACACAACGCTGTGGTTATTTCACGTCAGTTTTCTGTGAGGCCGTAGTATCACTTTGGTCGAGCCGATACATTCTAGCCTTAACTTGGCTCTCCTGGAGTTGTCTGTGGGGCCTTAAGACAACTGTCTAAAAATTAGTGGAACATGGAAAAACTGCTACGTATTTTAAAAGGCTGTATAGAGCTTAGTGACCTACCTTGGGGTTCAGACCAGACCCTTGCCTCAGGAAGGTGCCTGTGATGAACCAGAAGGAGTTGCACACGTTGAACTGGTTCGTCAGGAGTTTCGTCTCATGACCACACACGTGGGTGCTTGTGGACCTGCAAGAAAATATAATCTTACCAGTTGGTACCTTTGAGCGACTTTTAGAATTGGTAGTTATTTATTTTGAGACTTCATGCACAAAACGCTGTACATAGGCGGACTTAATGCAATAAGCATTCTACCTTTGGGTGATGCAGAGATAATCTAGTGTCAGGTGCAAGAAAGCAAGTTATGATAGCGATTGCGATAAAGATGGGTTGCTAAGTTGGCATAAAGCGATTTAAAGGTTATCGTCATAAAAAATTGCCAAGTATGAGCCTAAATCGCGCACAAAAGATCTAGCTTATCCAAACTTATATTATAAATGCGAAAGTAAATGAAGAAAGAAAGAAAGAAAGAAAAACCATTTATTTCACACACATAAATCTGGCTTTTCTTCTATCCTAAACTACTGAACCGATTTGTGTTAAATTTAGTACAGACATAGTTTGGAACTCGATAAAGGACGTAGGGCAGGAAGTCACTATTCCTCGTAAACGAAGTCGCGGACAAAAGCTAGTCATATCTTCTTATATATAAAAATGGATAGCAAAATGTGTTGGTAAGCGCATAACTGAACAACGCCTGGACCAATTTTGCCAATTATTTTTTTGTTGTGTGTTATTGTCAGGAAAAGGTTCTTATCAATGAAAATATTAGAAAAGTAGAGGGGAAGATTAGGAAAAAGTGACCCTTTGATAGCGATGTAGTTGGACCCGTGCGAAGCGGGGGCGGGCCGCTAGTATTATATATATATCAATCTAAACTTCAACCCTCTAGCTATCCCGATTCATAAAATACAGTCTGGTGACAGACAGACTAACACACAAACCTGCACCACTTATTTCTCATAATAATTTTCACCGTCGTACCACCAAACAATCGGCAAAACGTCATCGCTTCATCTATACTAATATTATAAAGAGGTAAAATTTGTAAGTTTGTATTTAGGGGGTAATCTTTGGAACCACTGGTCGGATTGCCAAAATTCTTTCACTGATAGATAGCTACAATGTTCTTGTGTGCTATAGGCTATAAAACGTCACGCTACGATTAAACGGAGTCGAGCAGCGGGTGAAACCGCGTGAGAATAGCTAGTACTTAATAGAATTATAAAGCTGGAGAATTTTTCAGAGCTCGAATTTGAGTTTGTGTTTGTAAGTCCATTTATCGGGGAAAAGCTTTAGATCATGATCACGCTACGATTTGTAGAAGCCGAGCAGCGAGTGAAACCGCACGACAGAAGCTAGTTATAAATAATCTAACATCGAACTTACCATTCATAAGGCGAGAACCGAGCCATGACGAAGAGTGTAAACGACACGAGGATATAGGCAGCCAGGATTTAAGAAGCTGAAGAGACGAGTTGGTTGCGAGGTCGGGACCTGAAATAAAATTAATCACTTGTTTATGGAATATGAGGAAAATGAGCAGACGGATCTCCTGATGGTAAGTGATCCGTCCATGGACACCAGAGGAGTTACAGGGGTTTTACTGGACTTTTAAGAAAAAATACGATCGGTTCTTGAAGGTTTGAAGGTCGTATCGGTTCAGAAATACCGTCGCCGAAAGATCATTCCAAAGTTTTGCTGTGCAAAATCGCACAGTTGTTGAGTGCCAACCATTTATATGATGGAAATGGAATACGGTTGTTTCCAACTAGTCAAATTCAATACTTTTATCCAAATGTCAAAAACGATACTTTTCTATGAAAATTGTATGAAACATTGAATTATGACGTCATAGCATTTTTGCGTCAAATAGCTTACTTATATTTAAAAAATTAGCTAAAAAATATCTAAAACTTAGTGTATCGATTGATCGACGAATAAAAGTATAGTTATTTTTCAATATTTTATCGTATTAAAAAGAATTAATTTATTTTTGACCTAGGAAACTACCCAATTTTTTTCGAGTGGATTTCAATTCCAGGAGCTTTGGGTCCAGGTGAATAGAATTAATGGTTGTCTGGAAGCAAGTGCTGCAGCTGGGCTAGCTGCGATTTCCGCAGAAAAACACTTCTTGTGATCTACAAATTGTTGTTCCGGGTCTGGGTGTGATATTGTATGTTTGTAAACGCATCCACGACACAAGAGAATATCCTCAAGTTTTTCTTAGTAAAAAAATACTAGTTTGGGACTCGAGAAAGGATATAGGATAGTTTTGAAACCAAAAATCTGCAGGAAGTTACTATTCCACACGAACAAAGTCGCGGGCAAAAGCTAGTTAATAATAATTAAAAACGCACTTACCTTAAACAATATTCCGATCCCCAGATTCATGAAAGGTTTCGTGAAATCTATGACGGCCTCTCTCGCGTAGTTTATCGTCATAGACGCTACCGCTATATCAGCTTTCTGAAACGATTTGAATATATTTTTGTATAAAGACCTACATGAGCATTTTTTATGTAGTAGGTCGGCAAACGAGCAGACGGATTACCTGATGGTACGCAATCAGCGCCGCCCATGGACACCCGCAACGGAGGAGTTACGAGTGCGTTGCCGACCTTTTAGAGATTAGGGATTTGGAGATTTAGGAACTGGGGAGGCATTGGGGAAGGGGATCCCTGCCCTACCCCGATCCCTCCCAATCCCTAAATCTCCAAAACCCTAATCCCTAAAAGGTCGGCAACGCACTTGTTACTCCTCCGTTGCGAGTGTCCATGGGCGGTGCTGATTGCTTACCATCAGGTAATCCATCCATTCGTTTGCTGACCTTTTCCATAAAAAAAATTATTGTAACAAACATTTTTTTTTCTTTCTATACTCACCCTATCCATCAACTCCCTGACAATTCCATTCCAATGTCCAGTATCAGGATCTCTAGCCCCATACATATTGTCAGGCACCAGCCGGAGACGGTAGTGGAAACCAGCTCTCGCAGCCACCCTGGCCAGAAGATCTATGCAGAACCCCTCGAACCGCGCGTTCCCTTGCAAATTCCATCCTTCTTTCACCATGACGTAGGGTTTTTCCTGGAAGAAGAATAGTGTTTAAGAATTTTGCTACAAAATTTTTGACTGAATATTTATGGAAGTGATAGTATGTTTGTAAACAGGGCTGATGTTCAGTCAGGGTTGCGGGGTAAGCGCAATGAGGCACCGCGACCTCGGCCCAGAGCAGGAGAAGGAACAGGGGGGTTTTTAGTCAGTAAGAGTCTGACACTACCTCTCGCCCGGCCCTGGGTGGGAGAAGGCATTTGATGATATTCCCCTCACAAAAAAAAGTATGTTTGTAAACGCATTTGCGACATAAGAGAAAATCCTAGTGGCACCAGTTTTTTAAACAATAGGTTTTAGAAAAAACGTCTTTTTAAGCTATACATATATAGTAAAATCGCCCAAAGGTTCGACTGGGAGAGAATGCCTGTGGCATTAAGTCCACCTTGTACACAGATGTATGTGCAAAAGTGTAAATAAATAAATAAACTGCACTTCTATTTTTTAAGTTGTAAATCTCATCTGCAAAGTCACACACCACTTAGTTCCTTTCACTTCGTTATTCACATGATGGCGCCAGTGTAGATTTCAATCCATTTGAGAATACGAAACTTTAAATAAACATTTCACGATTTCGATTTCGATTTCACCGCGGATTCAGAAGTAATTTCGCAAATTAACTTTTTCGAATAGCATATATATAGATGATTGGTGCTGTGAGATAATATTTATAAGACTTTTTTACAGTAGCTATTGTGAGTCATACTAATTTTTTTTTATGTAATTGGTCGGCAAACGAGCATACGGATTACCTGATGTTAAGCAATCAGCGCCGCCCATGGACACCCGCAACGGAGGAGCTACGAGTGCGTTGCCGACCTTTTAGGGATTAGGGATTTGGAGATTTAGGGATTGAGGAGGTATTGGGGGCGGGGAAGGATTGGGCCTCCGGTAACCTCACTCACACGGCGAAACACAACGCTGTGGTTGTTTCACGCCGGTCTTCTGTGAGGCCGTGGTATCACTCCGGTCGAGCCGACCCATTCGTGCCGAAGCATGGCTCTTTCACTTTACTGACAAACAAATTTACTGTAAATAGCGACGAAGATTTATATGAAAAAAACTTACCTCAACAGTGACCACAGTCAGAGTAACATTTGGTGGGGGATCTCGGGTATACGCAGCGGGGTCTGTTATCGCCAGACCTTCCCCCGGGGTCCAATGTCCAGACACCACCATACCCCCCTTTTCTCCCCCAGTCAACCTCATAAGCTGAAGGTGGAAGTTCGTTCGGACTCCATTCTTGAATTCTATTGGTCCCGTGAGGCCGTGCGCTTGGATCTGTTAGGGGAAATTGGAATTTGTGATTATATTGTAAATGGTTTTAATGATTAATGGATCGGTGGATTATGGAATGAAGAATTGACAAATCATAAAAGATTATTTAAGTAATGGATTAGTGGATAAATATATGTATATAAAAGAAAGTCGTGTTATAATAGTGTAACTATTTATAACTCCAGAATGGCTGAACCGATTTGCAGGGTAGGCAGGGTAAGTTGGGTAGATAAAGTAGGGTAGTGTTATCGGGTAAAGTGTTACTCGCTTAAAAAAAAACACTTTTTAGAATGTCTAGAAATATAATAAGAAAATAGCAAAATTACAAAACCCTTAGTGTGTCCGCCACGAGGTGCAAAGTAAGTGTGTCATTATCTTTATATATAAAAATGGATCACAAAATGTGTTGGTAAGCGCATAACTCAACAACGCCTGGACCATTTTTGCTAATTCTTTTTTTGTTATGTTTGTTGTTGTCAGGAGAAGGTTCTTATCAAAGAAAATATAAGAAAAGTAGAGGGGAAGATTAGGAAAAAGTGACCCTTTGATAGTGAGGTAGTTGGACTCGTGCGAAGCAGGGGCGGGCCGCTAGTAATAAATAAAATAAAATGTGTAATGTTAGGTAAACGTGTCGCATCCACGTGAGCAACGGGGATGCGGTGTATGTTAGGGCTATAATAACTTATAACAGTAGATAGCGTAGTAGAGTAGGGTAGGTAGCGTAGGGTAAGCATTGTAGAGTAGGGTAGATGGTGTAGGTAGAGCAGGGTAGGTAGCGTAGGGTGGGTAGAGTATGGTAGGTAGCGTAGGGTGGGTAGAGTATGGTAGGTAGCGTAGGGTGGGTAGAGTATGGTAGGTAGCGTAGGGTGGGTAGAGTAGGGTAGGTAGCGTAGGGTGGGTAGAGTATGGTAGGTAGCGTAGGGTGGGTAGAGTATGGTAGGTAGCGTAGGGTGGGTAGAGTATGGTAGGTAGCGTAGGGTGGGTAGAGTATGGTAGGTAGCGTAGGGTGGGTAGAGTAGGGTAGGTAGCGTAGGGTGGGTAGAGTATGGTAGGTAGCGTAGGGTGGGTAGAGTATGGTAGGTAGCGTAGGGTGGGTAGAGTATGGTAGGTAGCGTAGGGTGGGTAGAGTATGGTAGGTAGCGTAGGGTGGGTAGAGTATGGTAGGTAGCGTAGGGTAGGTAGAGTATGGTAGGTAGCGTAGGGTGGGTAGAGTATGGTAGGTAGCGTAGGGTGGGTAGAGTAGGGTAGGTAGCGTAGGGTGGGTAGAGTATGGTAGGTAGCGTAGGGTAGGTAGAGTATGGTAGGTAGCGTAGGGTGGGTAGAGTATGGTAGGTAGCGTAGGGTGGGTAGAGTATGGTAGGTAGCGTAGGGTGGGTAGAGTATGGTAGGTAGCGTAGGGTGGGTAGAGTATGGTAGGTAGCGTAGGGTAGGTAGAGTATGGTAGGTAGCGTAGGGTAGGTAGTCAAATGACTTATAAGAGCTAGTTAAATAATAAATTTATGAATACATGTATTTATAGGTTATACGGTAGTTTCCAACTAGTCCAATTCAACACTTTTATCCAAACGTCAAAAACGATACTTTTCTATGAAATTTGTATGAAAAACTGAGCTATGACGTCATAGTATTTTTGCGTCAAAAAGCTTACTTATTTCTTAATAATTAGCTAAAAATTTCTAAATCTAAGTATATCGATCGATCGATGAATAAAAGTATAGTTATTTTTCAATATTGTATTGTATTGTATTGTATTAATTAATTTTTGATCTAAGAAACTAACCAATACATTAAATTTATAGATTTATTCATGAATTATAAGATTTACGAATTAATTAAAAAATAATGGAATAGTGGACAAATCAATTAACAAGTTGCAAAAGAAAACTTACATTATTAATATTATCGTAAATAGTTTTCCCATGGTTCCATGGTATGTCCTTATCACAAGACACATTTCCTGGGTGGAAGTCTTCAGTGATGGCGAGAGCCTGGCACAAGATCTGAACAGCGTCGTATAGGAGAGCTGGTTCCGTCTGTAAAATACAAAAAATAAAATGGTTTTTTTTTACTTGCAATAAATTAGTGCTTGACTGCGATCCCACCTGATGGTAAGCAGTGATGCAATCGTTGATGGTAAGGTGCACTAGTTTATTAAGAGCCTATTCACTCTAGCCTTGAAGACACCTAAATTACATATATATTCGGACGGAAAGACTGCAGCCAGCAAACTGTTCCAATCCCTCGATGTACGCGGTATAAATGACGAGGCAAAACGCTTAGTCCGGGCCGCAGGTGTCTCAACAACGTAAGGCTGGATATTCGCCGTACGCCGGGATGTCCGAAGGTGAAATTGGGATGGCGGAATCAAATCGTGCAATTCCTGCGCACACTCGCCAAAATGCATCCTGTAGAAAACCGCAAGACTGGCTACTCTGCGCCTGTGCTCGATTTATTTAATTTGATTAACTCGGTTAATTTACTTGACTTTTACTGCACGGTTGGTGCGGTGACTGGGCAACTGGGTTCCGTGCAACGTGTCGCGGTTTCAATACCCGCACGGAACAACTCTTTGTGTGATCCACAAATAGTTGTTCCGGGTCTGGGTGTGATGTTTATGTGAAATTGTATGTTTGTAAACTCACCCACGAAACAAGAAAATCCTAGTGTTGGGCAATGTTTTAAAAAAATAAGTATTTATGTGGGATGTAAATGTTTCCGAACGAGTGAGATGTGTGTAAGGTAATGCTAGTTTCTAAACGAATGTGTGGAAGTAAGAGAGAATGAATGAGCGAGTGAGATAGAGCGATTTCCGGAAAAGGATGGAAATTGGACGAATGACAAGAGGGACACGATTTTATGTTTTAACCAAAACGAATATTGACAAATAAACGATTATTACGATTTTTCCTACACAAAACGAGTGTGTTTAAGTGTGGGAGAGCCATGCTTCGGCACGAATGGGTCGGCTCGACCGGAGTGATACCACGGCCTCACAGAAAACCGGCGTGAAATAACCACAGCGTTGTGTTTCGCCGTGTGAGTGAGTTTACCGGAGGCCCAATCCTTCCCCTTCCCCAATCCCTCCTCAATCCCTAAATCTCCAAATCCCTAATCCCTAAAAGGTCGGCAACGCACTCGTAACTCCTCCGTTGCGGGTGTCCATGGGCGGCGCTGATTGCTTCCCACCAGGTAATCCGTCTGCTCGTTTGCCGACCTATTACATAAAAAAAAACGAAGTATTTTTAATATCCTGCGAACCCTTGATCCCCACTTTTATAATAATAGCTTTTTCTGCCAGTCTTTTTGGTATCCAACCTCATAATGACAGTGACGATTTTTTAAAGCTTAGTATTACTTTCAAAAATGTCGTGGTGGCCCGGAGGTTAAGGAGCCCGCTTCTCATGCATGAGGGTTCGAAACCTGGCAAGTACCAATGTGACTTTTTCCGAGTTATATGTACTTTCTATGATTATTTAGACACCACTGACATACGGTGAAGGTAAACATCGTGAGGAAACCCGGACTTATAATTTCTAATTATAAGTTTGAAATCGCCAACCCGCATTGAGAAAGCGTGGTGATTAATGCTCAAACCTTCTCCGTATGAGAATAGGCCTTTGCTCAGCAGTGGGCACTTATAGGCTGATGATGATGATGATAAGTTTTGTGTGTAAGAACCGAATTTTCACTATCACTATTTTCATCAATAAGGTTACAATAATCACAGTTTTTTGTTGTGTTAATACGCTGTACTGCACGTCGATTTTGATTTTGAATCTTCACGTCGATTCTATAAAATTTGTTTGATTTTGAATCGTGTTCGAGTGCGAAGTGAGCGCCGAAGTGACGGGGAATTTAAATTTTAGAATGTCACTTTTAACGTCATCTCATACTTTATCTATCAAAATGTTGCTGTCAATTTAGTTCAACTCGCAAGTGTAGCGCTAGTGTACTACTACTCACAGCGGATTCAGATTCGAAGTTTAGAATGATGTCTTACAGAATCACACCCCAGACTGCTTACCATCAGTTCGAGTACTATAAAATAAAAAGGAAAATATTGTTTTTGGAATACGTTATGTATTTATCAAATTTGTATATAACCTTAATATGTCCCCCGCTGATGATGGACGCTCCAATGGGATGGAACTTCTCCATAACTTGGAGAGACTCCTTCACTTTATCGGAGTCTCTATCTACTAGTCTCCAGCCACTCATGTTGACACGATTGTAGTAAAAATCCTCCATATCAAATAGCTCAAAATCCTGAAATGTATAAAGGGCCCGATTATTATTATTATTTTTTATTGATTATAGGTTCGCGCTTGACCGCTATCTCACCTGATGGAAAGCGACGATGCGGTCGACGATGGAGCGCGCTTACCTAGAAGTAACCTATTCACTCTTGACTTAAAGATACCCAGATTGTAACTATCAGGAAACACCGACTCCGGCAAGGAATTCCACTCCTTGGCTGTACGCTATTAACCGTCCTATGGAATGCTTAGCTAAATTTTCCACTATACATATAATGGATATTATCTTTATATATAAAAATGGATCACAAAATGTGTTGGTAAGCGCATAACTCAACAACGCCTGGACCATTTTTGCTAATTCTTTTTTTGTTGTGTTTGTTATTGTCAGGAGAATGTTCTTATAGAAGAAAATATTAGAAAAGTAAAGGGGAAGATTAGGTTAAAAAGTGACCCTTTGATAGCGAGATAGTTGGACCCGTGCGAAGCGGGGGCGGGCCGCTAGTTATACATATAAACCTTCCTCTTCAATCACTCTATCTATTAAAACAACCATATCAATATCCGTTGCGTAATTTCAGAGATTTAAGCGTATAAATAGGGATATAGGGACAGAGAAAGCGACTTTGTCTTATACTATGTAGTTAGGCGAAAATAAATTAGTAAATACTTACAAATGAAGTAAAGACGTAATGATAGTCTTCATTGTTCATTTGCAACTGAAGAATCTGAAAATTAAATATATCGATTACTTAATTGACTGCACGGTTGGTGCGGTGGCTGGGCAACTGACTGCCGTGCTCGGTGTCTTGTACTCTTTGTGTGATCCACAAATTGTTGTTCCGGGTCTGGGTGTGATGTGTATGTGGTATTGTATGTTTGTAACCGCACCCACGACACAGGAGATAATGCTAATGTAGAGCAACGTTTTTTTTAAAAAAAAAGGAAAAAAAAAGAAAGAAAAGAATCTTAATCACATATTTAAAATAGCAGCCATTTCTAATGTGGGAGAGCCATGCTTTGGCACGAATGGGTCGGCTCGACTGGATTGATACCACGGCCTCACAAAAAACAAAGAACCACAGCAGTGTGTTTCGCCGTGTGAGTGAGGATACAGGAGGTAACCCTACCCTCCCTCTGTCCACATCCCTTCCAAATCCTTAAATATCCGAAACCCTAATCCCCAAAAGGCCGGCACAGTGCATTCCTAACTTCTTTGGTGTTGCGGGTGTCCATGGGCGGCGCGTATTGCTTACCATCAGATAATCCGTCTGGTCGTTTGCCGTCCTATGTCATCCGGTCTTTTGACTGCCAAAGGAGTTACAAGTGCGTTGCCGGCCTTTTAGAGATAAGGGTTTCAGAAATTCAAGGATTGAGAAGTGATGGGGAGATGGAGGCGACCTCCGGTAACCTCACTCACACAGCGAAACAAAACGCTATGGTTGTTTCACCGTGGTATCACTCCGGTCGAGCCGACCCATTCGTGCCGAAGCTTGGCTCTGCCACATTTAAAATTTCCAAATGCTTACGATCAGGTAAATCAACTTAACACACACAAAAAAATTACTGAAAAAGGACTCACAGCTCTGGCCAATTGTCTAACTCTTTTAGGATCAGTATCGACCACAATATGATCGATTTGCTGAGCTTTCAGTAAGGCTAGACCTCGTCTGTACTCCTTTGCATCACGACATCTCACCGCGTACATATCCCGTCCATCTTTCGCTATGTTCAAGATGTTTAGTTCCCCTGAAAATTTGAAAAAATATTATGTAGTGAACGATTTTTTATGGTATAATCATATATTTTATTTCGTGTCTCTTCACGGGACTACAAGATCCCGGACCTTTGGAAGGCGTATGAGCAGCCGAAGCCCTTTGAACAACTTTAATATTAGTGAAATGGGACATCAGCCGGCAATTAGGTAGTTTCCTAGGTCAAAAATAAATTAATTCGACGTTTTAATTCAATACAATATTAAAAAATAACTATTCTTTTATTCATCGATCGATCGATAAACTAAGTTTTAATTTTTTTGTAGCTAATAATTAAGAAATAAGTAAGCTATTTGACGCAATAATGTTTTGACGTCATAACTCAGTTTTTCAAACAAATTTCATAGAAAAGTACCGATTTTGACGTTTGGATAAAAGCATTGAATTTGACTAGTTGGAAACTAATGAATTATTCCTGTAAACAATTATGAAAGTGCACCCAAGGATAATCCCTGGTTGATGCAGGACTATACAGAAAATTATATGGCTATGGTTGTGGGTGGCTTTGGCCAGAGAGATGTGATAACTGTGGAAATACTATGGCACCTGCCCCTAACCAATATTGATACATACGGGTCAACGGGCAGGGGGTGACTGGCAAACTCAATTAATGGGCCCCCGGTAACGGCCGCTAGCATGCAACACGGGGGCAACATACGTTGAGCTGCTTGGGGAAGGAGAGGCATCCCACGGCTATCAGAGCAATCCGAATCACGGTCAAAACTCCTACCAGCGTGTCTCCTTCTACTCCTACTCTGGCGAATCTTTACTCAAATCATCCAATTAAAGCAAGAATGAGGTAGATCCTCAGTGTTCACTTCAACTAGTCACGAAGATAAACAAAGACCTCCCGGGAATCACCAGACAGAGAGAGAGAGAGAAGAAAGAGAGAGAGAGAAAGAGAGAGAGAGAGAGAGAGAGAGAGAGAGAGAGAGAAAGAGAAAGAGAAAGAGAAAGAGAAAGAGAAAGAGAAGGAGAAAGACAAAGAGAAAGAGAAAGAGAAAGAGAAAGAGAAAGAGAAAGAGAAAGAGAAAGAGAAAGAGAAAGAGAAAGAGAAAGAGAAAGAGAAAGAGAAAGAGAAAGAGAAAGAGAAAGAGAAAGAGAAAGAGAAAGAGAAAGAGAACGAGAAAGAGAAAGAGAAAGAGGAAGAAAAAGAGAAAGAGATAGAGAAAGAGAAAGATGGGGGATCAAAAATTATCCGCAACGACAACAACTTTTCGGCTTATTTTTTGTGTTTTCTTGATGAGAGTTAATGATGATATAACTTACCAAAGTCAAAGTCATTTATTCCAACTAAACCATAAATAGATACTTTTGAAACGCCAAAATAGAATAGTAGTCTGTCAGTCTGTACGTTAGTGAAGCTAGGTGCTCATTCCAAATTGTAGATTCAAATGGAGGAAAACGAGTAAAAAACTCCATCCATCGTAACTCTTTTTTTTAATAATATTTGTTTTATAATTTCACTAATATAACATTTAGTATACATTATTGTACCCCTATGTGAGAACAATGCAGAGACAAGTTGTAAATAAAAAGGAACAAATGATGAGATCTATCATTAAATTTTAATCCTTTGTCGTCTCGAACATGGCGCTCACAATCTAAAAGAATGTTTCTATATTACCATTCTATATTCTATATTTACCATTTCCGTAGTCTTCATAAATGACTCCCATTCTCGTCCAGTTCAGATATGAGAGGAATTCAGCAAACGCCTTCGTCAGAAGATCTCTTGGTGGGTACAGGTTAATCGTGAACGTATGGTTTACTGAAAACGGACGGACAGACATTTTATTAATATCCATTTTGATTTCTAGAAAGATATTAAAGAAAAAGAAACAATGAAAATGCATTTATTCGCCATCAAGCATGAAAGCCAGAAAAAACAAAAAACAGTGTGGGAGAGCTATGCTTCGGCACGAATGGGTCGGCTCGACCGGAGTGATACCACGGCCTCACAGAAAACCGGCGTGAAACAACCACAGCGTTTTGTTTCGCCATGTGAGTGTGTAAGTGAGGTTACCGGAGGCCCAATCCTTCCTCTCCCCCAATCCCTCCTCAACCCCTAAATCTCCAAATCCCGAATCCCTATCCTCCGTAGCCATGTGCGGCGCTGATTGCTTACCATCAGGTAATCCGTCTGCTCGATTGCCGACCTATTACATAAAAAAAACAACATAAAGGTTAAAAGGACAGAACAACAAAAATACGCTAAATATACCTATACGTACAATTCTACAGGGTTGGCAGACATGCCTAATCCGAATGGGACGCTTTTTTATAACCGGTGCTTTCAACATGGTATGGGCGTTGGCTGTAAACTGACACTTGCGTGCCTTTCTCCAGAACTGGTGTACTTAAACTGATGTGATTCTTTCCGTAGAAGACCACTACCGAATGTAGTTACATGGTTCTCATGCATTATATTTGTTTTACATTATCTGGACTTGAAAACTCAGAGGTCCGACGAGGATCTCTGACGTGCAAAAGTGCCGTTTTATGGCCTATTTGCAAAAATAAATTCATTATTTCATCAGGCTCCAGTAACTTCATACACACGGCGAAACACAACGCTATGGTTGCTTTGTCAGGACAGTTTTCTGTTTCGTCAGACGAGCCGACCTATTCGTACCGAAGCATGGCTCTCCCACATCAACTTATTATTATTATTTTTATTTTATGTAATAAATAGGTCGGCAACCTAGCAGACGGTTAACCTGATGGTAAGCAATCAGCGCCGCCCATGGACACTCGCAACGGAGGAGTTACGAGTGCGTTGCCGACGTTTTAGGGATTAGGGTTTTGGAGATTTATTGATTGGGAGGGATCAAGGGAGGGGAATGATTGGGCCTCTGATGACCTCACTCACATGGCGAAACACAACGCTGTGGTTGTTTCACGCCGGTATTCTGTGAGGCCGTGATATCACTCCGGTCGAGCCGACCCATTCGTGCCGAAGCTTGGCTCTCCCACACTTTATGTAAGAACAAGAAAATAACTCACAATTCTCAGGAGTAAAAGGTCCAATAGTGAGATGTGGTGCATGTAGGCTGGTGCTCATATGGTCCAATGTGTTTCCCAACAGTGGGCCCACACCGCTGAACAATGCAACTGCACCTGACTGGATCTGTGCGCACGCTGAAAAAGTACAATTGAACGCTGTAGATATCAGATTTATTACATAATCATTTATATATTTATTATGATAAGGTAGATTCACAGCTTATGTATACAAAGTAGTTAGAAGTATTCGTTATAGGTACAACCTAAACTAAATCATAAAACACAAAATATTTAAAAAAAGCATGCTCAAAAGGGTTGCCATCTCAGTATTAGTTGGGCTCAGTGAGAACCCAAAACTGGTTTACAGTTAGCAACCTCGGGTGACGTACGAATGAGAGCATCGTAAAACAGAAAATAATAATATTATTTGATATTTTTAAAGTACTTAGGAAAGTTTTTGAGCATTAATCACCACCCTTCTTACTCAAGGCGGGTAGGTAATTTCAATATTATAAATAGAAATGCTGATATTTAAATCATGGTGTCTAAATGAACTTAGGAAGTATTTTTTCGAGATACTCGGAAAAAATCACATTGATACTCGTCATGTTGAGTCATGCTCGAGGAGGATGTGTAAATGGACTGAATGGAAGACCATCGAATGAGTTCTCCATTCGATGGTCTTCGTAACTGAACATGACGAGTACCAATGTGACTTTTTCCGAGTATCTCGAAAAAATACTTCCTAAGTTTTTTATTTATATTTCCAATTAGGTACAGCTAACCAATGCGGTAATGCAATTACCGCATACTACTATGTTACTCAGCTATTGACTAAAAACCTCACATTCCTTCTCCTGTTTCAGGCCGGGGCCGTGGTATATTATTGTCTGGCGACCGTAGTCCAGAACAATAATCAACGGATGGTATCACTAATTCTACATTGAGCAAGGGAAGTATCCGCACTAATAAATACAGATAGAAAATCCCAACGTACATCTATTGGGCCAGCCAGACATGATCGCCTCGCCTGTTCAGGGGATCCTTTTCCAATCTTAGAGAAATTTACTTTCTGATCCATCAAAGTTAAAAGTGATAGGAAAAATCGGCGTTTGGGGAATTGGAGAGTTGGAGTTTTTGTCATAACGGAGAAGGATTGGACACTTCGGTCGAAGCATGAATCTCCGATATTCAAAAAGTTTATAGTTGGCTCAACTGTAATTGCTTCATGTGCAAAGCCTTTTACAATTGAACCGAGCCGTAGGAAAGGATTTCATAATAAAAAAAGTCTTGTTATAATGGAAACCGGTAAATGCGCGGAAATCCAATATGGCCGGTTTTCCCGCCATGAGTAAGCGTCGAGCACAGTTTAAAAATGGAGTATGAAGTAGAAGTAATTTGTTTGGGCGAAAAAAGATTGTGTCAAAAATAAAATGCGAGGCACCGCAATTTATAGCAACTATCTACACACATTTTGCGGTTATAGAGATGAAAAATAAAATATATGAAGTTCGTCTGTTGAGTATTGAAAAAATTACTGAAGTGTATAATTAATTCGATTGGCCGTGAGAAGAATTTACTTCAAATCATTCATTCAGTATTTGTTAACATAAAAATGTAGTAAAGTGTAACGTTTCAAATGAATATATTATGTTTATGTAAAACCTATTTTGAAAAATTTGTAGACATTTGTAAAAAAAATTCATAACCTATATTACAAAACGTATAATAAAGATAAAATATTTATGTAAAAACAACTGAAGCTTTGAAGCATTTTAAGTACCACCAAATGCAGTTCTAAAACACAATTAAAAGTGATTTCAATTATTAGACCATTAAAAACGCATTTGAATCTCAAACAAAAAAAGAAATCAAAGGATCAATCAAATTGTCGGTCAGTCCTTCAAGTGAAGCTACATATTTGCTCTTTCCAAAGTGTAGATTCCTATAGAGAAGCACAAGAAAGAAACTCCATGGTTACTATTTTCAATCAGTTTCATAATTCAATTGGTAGTTTCCTAGGTCAAAAATAAATTAATTTGACGTTTCAATACAATAAGACATTGAATAATAACTACACTTTTATTCATCAATCTGTCGCTGTCAATACACTAAATTTTCGATATTTTTTAATAACAAACAAGTAAGCTATTTGACTTAAAAATACTATGACGTCATGATTTGGAGTTTCATACAAATTTCATAGAAAAGTAGAAATTGGATAAAAGTAAATATTGAATTTGACTAATTGGAAACTACCGTATTTTTTGATACATTGATACGTTTACTTTTATCGCCATAAATGATATGGTACTCCTGTGTTCTATACTCCTTGCCATAAAAGGCACTTTACATTGCAGTTTTTGATGGAAAAAGTTTGTATTTTTTTCGCGTATTTTTTGACGATTTCCTCCCGCATGTGAAATTATCGCGAAATTGCAGTCGGTGTGAGCTTTGTATTGTGTTTTCACAATATAGAAGAGTTTAATTTTCTGACTTCAAAGCGTCTTTGTGACAATTCAATATAATCGACTCTAGCTAGGTAGAAATTGAACAGCTGATTTCATGCGTAGTTCTTTAGAAAATTTACACAACCATTGCGTATTTTTTTGTTTTAGCTGTGTTATTTACATTAATGTTATTCTTCATACATAGAATTTAATTATACATTGAAATAGAGGTGTAGGAACTGGAAAAACGAAAAAAAAATTGAAAATTTTCCTGAAAGAATTTTCACTGGAATATGATTCAGAATAAGGAGCTGATTGCACCCTGTTAATTTGTGGAGGGCTGTCCCTTACACCCTGTATACATGTAACAAATTTTAATGTTAAAAGTATGCAGCAAACTTTTTATTTATCGTCACTGCACTGTTTGTCGTTTTGTACTTGTCGTGGTGGAACGGAGGCAAAGGATCCTCATGCATGAGGAGGTGAGCTTAAAGCCTGGTACTTAGTTTATTTAGACACCACATACATATGGTGAAGGAAAACATCGTGAGGAAACCTGGACTTATAATTTCTAATTATAAGTTTGAAATCACCAATCCGCCTTGAGCAAGCGTGGTGGTTAATGCTGTAACCTTACATTTATAAGCTGATGATGTAATGCGGCGTGATTCAATGCATACCTTTCTTAAAAGTCTGAAAGCTGTCTCTGGAAGGTGTATATTGGATGTCGTAAACAAGAGTGCTGTTTGGTAAAAGAGTTCGTTCTTTATTGATCCTGTACACAGCGTATTTGAAAGCCAGCTCTGTGCTACCACCCCTTGCGTCTTCTGTGAACACCGCGCCTGAAAATATAAATGAAACATTGATTTATTTATTTTAGACAACTAGTAGTTGTTATATTTATACTTACTTTATACTTTATACCACAACAAGTACTATAACATTACAATCACAAACTGTAAAACAAATTTTTAAAAGTGTGGGAGAGTCATGCTTCGGTACGAATGGATCGGCTCGACCGGAGTGATACCACGGCCTCACTGACAACCGACGTGAAACAACCAGTGTTGTGTTGTGAGTGAGGTTAGCAAGAACCAATAGTCCCTAATCCCAAAATCTCCAAATCGCTAATCCCCAAAAGAGTACGTTGCCATCCTTTTAGACATTTTGGGATTGATAAAGGATTAGGACCTCACTCACACAGCGAAACGCATCGCTATGGTTGTTTCACGTCGGTTTTCTGTGAGGTCGTGGTATCACTCTGGTCGAGCCGACCCATTCGTGCGGAACCATGGCTCTCCCACATTATTGATTTGATTTGATTTTCTATATGCGTTAGAGTGGCGCCCTGGATGGTTTAGATTCCCAAATCAGCCCGGCAGATGGCGCTGATTGCTTGAAGAAGCATGTGATCTCGGAAACGGTCCTAACGATCTTGCTGAAAGTCAAAGTCAAAATCAAAATCATTTATTCCAACTAAACCATAAATAGGTACTTTTGAAACGTCAAAATAGAAAAGTAGTCAGTCAGTCTGTTCGTCAGTGATGCTAGGTGCTCGTTCCAAATTGTAGATTCGAATGGAGAAGAACGAGGAAATTTGATATGTGGGGGTTTTCGGAGAGGGTAGTATTGTTATATGTATATTTTTTTTCTAGAACGTTTATGTTGTTTGTGTGTTTCTAGTTCTTAGGTGCAGGGCAGAAGGCACACAAAAAGTATCCAAGGCGTTCAAAAAGTTTGTCAAAACTCACCTATTTTAACCACCGGAGAGAGAGCCACCACAGTATTCAGCATAAGCACGACACACCCCCACTCTGACCACATCCTGCCTCATCGTCAGCCCTTGACGATATCCTCACCACCTGCAAACAAATGGGAACATCATCATCCATCATCACACCTACCCTGGTGACTCGTAGCACAGGTGTTGCATGCCTGTCTCGGACACCAGTCTCACACAATTTTTTGTATTATGACTATGGTAGACTTATATTTAGTATAGTAGTTTATAGTATTTTTGTACTATGACTAAAGATCTTCGTGGAAAGTGATTTTTCGACGATGATGAACTGAAGGTAGCAATTAATACCCATTTTGAGGAGAAGCCAGAGGAATATTTTTTACAAGGCTTAAAGAAGCTAATTCCTTGATCTAACAAATGTATTGAGGGTCTAGAGGACTACATTGAAAAATAGATTTTTTCCAAAATTTTCCGAGTTTTCTTTCATGCCTATACCGAGTATACATTGAACGCCCCTCGTAATATAACTAGCTCTTACCCGCGGCTTCACACCCGTCATTTGACTACCTACCCTACTCTACCTACCCTATTCTGCCTACCCTATTCTGCCTACCCTACTCTACCTACCCTACTCTACCTACCCTACACTACCTACCCTACTCTACCTACCCTGCTCTATCTACCCTGCTCTACCTACCCTGCTCTACCTACCCTACTCTACCTACTCTATCCTATGTCCTTCTCCCAGTTCTTAGCTATCTCCCTGCCAATTTTCAGCTAAATCGGTTCAGCCGTTCTCGAGTTATAAGTACTAACACGACTTTCTTTTATATATATAGATTATAGTATAGGTATATTAGTATACATAGAAGAGCAAACAAACATTCATACATTCTACTACATTAATCCAAACTTAATATTATAAATGCGAAAGTAACTCTGTCTGTTTTTCTGTATTTTCTTCACGCCTAAACTACTGGACCCAATTCTGTGATATTTGGTACAGACATAGTTTGGAACTCGAGAAAAGCCATTGGATAGTTTTTATACCAAAAATCACTATTCCAAGCGAAAGAAGCCATGGGTAAAAGCTAGTAATATGTAGCATAGAAATAAATTTGCTATCAAGATTAAAAATCGCCATCACGCACCCACACATAATATGGAACACGCAATTTCAACGCGGGCAAATACATTTTCGCGCCCCCTGTCGGCATACCAAGTAAATTCATAGAATAACTGCCGCGGTGGCGAGGCAGCTATACACAACGATATCTACACATATTATAGTTGTGCCTATGTAGATTTTTTACACACTGCTGGGAAGAACGGACAGGGCATATTTTTGCTATATATATAGTAAAGATTAGAAATGTATATAAGAATTAAAAATGTGTCACGTGTTCGAATTCTGCACGGAACAACTCTTTTTGTGATCCACAAATTGTTGTTTCGGGTCTGGGTGTGATGGGTATGTGAAATGGTATGTTTGTAAACGCGCCCACGACACAGGAGAAAATCCTAGTGTTTTTCTTAATGTAGATTATTTCTCTTGCCTTTTTTTATTGACGGATGGAAATTATCAAAGTGTATCTTCATATCACATCACATCATCAAAATACAAGTGCCCACTGCTGAGCAAAGGCCTCTTTTCACACGGCGAAGGCTTGAGCATTAACCACTACGCTTGCTCAAGGCGGATTAGCGATTTAAAACTTATAATTTAGACATTATAAGTAAAGGTTGCCTCACGATCAAATAGCCAATAGACCACCACAGACCCTATAGGGCTGATGTTCAGCCGGGGTTGCGGGTTAAGCGCAATGAGTCACCGCGGCCTCGGCCCAGAACAGGAGAAGGAACGATTTTAGTCAATAAGAGTCTGACACTATCTCTCGCCTTACCCTGGGCGGGAGAGGTCATTTGATGATTTTCACGGGTTAAAAAAAAAGTTTCCTCGCGACATTTTCCTTTACCGTATCCTAGAGGTGTCTAAATAATCATAGAAAGTACATGTAACTCGGAAAAGTCTCATAGATACTTGGTATTTGAAACTCATCCATGCGTAAGAAGCGGGCACCTTAACCTCCGGGCCACACCGACGTAAGCATGTCTACACTCAAAATTCGTCAAAAAACAACACTACTATGAAGTATTATGCCAAGAGGCTTATTAATATTATAATTCAAATCTGTAATATCTTTTGTCCCAACCCCGGCAGCTTGCTAACATCTGTCGCGGGGTTGTGGCTTCAGAAAAATTAATTCCATTCTTTCACATTCTTCCCGAGTCGCTCATAATAATGTAAAAGTTCGTATTGATTTGAAACTGACTTGATTTTAGTGATGGAATGGCGAACGAGCAGACGGATTATCTAATGGTGAGCAATCAGCGCTGCCCATGGACACTTGTGGAAGAGCTAAAGGCAGCCTTTCGGCCAATGGAGATTTGGGGATTGGGGATTGGTGCAAGCAGAGAAATGATTAGGTCTCCGGTAACCTCCCTCACCATGGAACTACAACGCAAGAATTGCTTCTTGATATAGGATACCTTTTATAATATTACTAGACAGTATAAAATAAAGTCGCTTTCTCTGTCCCTATATCCCTATGTATGCTTAAAACTTTAAAACTACGCAACGGATTTTGATGCAGTTTTTTGATAGATAGAGTGATTGAAGAGGAAGGTTTATATGTATAACCAAAGGTTCTCGCGCGGTTTCACCCGCTGCTCGGCTCCATTTAATCGTAGCGTGATGTTTTATAGCCTTTAGCAGTCAGTAACATTGTAGCTATCTACCAGTGAAAGAATGTTGGCTATCCGACCAGCGCCTACAAAGATTACCCCCTACATACAAACTTACAAATCTTTATAATATTAGTATAGATAACAACCTAAATAGTAGAGGAATTTGGTATCAGTATTGCACTCATGCGAAGCCGGGGTCGCTAGGTTAGTTATACATAACATTTGTCTTGTGGGAGAGCCATGCTTCGGCACGAATGGGTCGACTCGACCGGAGTGATACCACGGCCTTACAGAAAACCGACTTGAAACAACCACAGCGTTGTGTTTCGCCGTGTGAGTGATGTTAGCGGAGGCCCAATGCACCCCACCTCCCCCTAAATCTCCAATTCATCAAATCCCCAAAAGGACGGCAACGTTCTCATAACTCCTCCTTTGTCGCAGATATCCATGGGCGGTGCTGATCGCTTACCATCAGGTAATCCGTCTGCTCGTTTGCCGACCTAACATTTAATAAAAATAAGGTTTATTTTAGTTGTATTTAGATAATGAAGCTAAATTAATTGTTATGTTTTCGGCTTTCTCACTTAATAATTTGACGAGATACTCGACTAGTTTCAAGCCATGCTAGAGGCCCATATTCATGAGCAGCATTCCGCGACGCGACGACTGTCGCGCTGCTACCAGCGCTGGAGTAGCAGCAGAGTAAGCCAAAAACAATAATTAATTTAGAATGTCTCACGAAATTTATAATAAAAATATAGATATGAAGCCGTCGCACTTTCCCGTCTGTGTGTCACAGCCACATAATTGAGAGGCTTACATATTTTCACGCGGCGACCCCCACCATTCGAGTTCTCCGGGGACCCCAACGAATGAAGATTATTATTTATATCCACAATAAACAAGTGGTAACTAGAGTTTATTGAGAGATTTTTGTAAAGAAATTGTAAAAAGATCAAACAGTGTGGTGACCCCATCTTTATTCCGCCGCGAGTATGGTGAGATAAGGCTACGAGGAGTTAAGGGTTTTTGTAAGTAACTATAGTTTGACTGGCCGGTTGGCGCGGTGGCTGAGGATCTGGCTGCCGCGCAACGTGTCGTGGGTTCGATTCCCGTACGGAACAACTCTTTCTGTTATCCACAAATTGTTGTTCCGGGTCTGGGTGTGATGTGTATGTGTATTTGTATGTTTGAAAACGTGCCCACGACACAGGAGAAAATCCTAGTAAGAGGCAACGTTTTTTAAATAAAAAATAAAAAAGTGAGATAAACTAAATTTATGGAATATAACGACTTACTTACTCACGCGATTGGAGATTTAGAGATAAGGGGGCCCCCTATATCTAAAATTCCAGCTCCAGTTTCCAGAATCTCCGATACACAATGACAAAGACCTTAACGAAAAAAAGAAAATCTCTCTCCAATCCCTAAATCTCCAAAACCCTTATCCCCAAATATCCCATAACACACTTGCAACATCATCAGGTGTGATGGTTTTTTATGTGATATTTTTGTTTTATTAGATGGCAAACGATCCGATATATTAGATGATGATAAGCAATCAGCGCCGCCAACGGAGTAACAAGTGTGCTACCGCCCTTTGGGGATTTGGGGTTTGGAGATTTAGGGATTGGGGAGAGAGATTTTCTTTATTTTTCTTTCTTCTGTTAAGTATTTTTTTATTGTGTATTGTTTCTGGAAACTTCAATGTTAGGACGAAATACAATAGCGTAGTTTCACGTCAACTATCTCTTTCATTTCGTTGTCAGAAACTGGCATTCTCAACAAAACGTTACCTATAGGTATAGCTAATGAAAAATTCTTCGCCAAAAAAATATTTCGTCAATTTTTAAATTGAAGTTTTTTGTAAAACTAAACGTACCTAGGTATAAAGTTAGCTTTCCAAACAAAAGCGTATCTACAAATAAAAAACCATGTATGAAGATTTTCATTGTTTAAAAAAGTTAATTCATCTGTGACGTCAGAAACGTCTGTTATTACAGATTTTTTCAGTTACAGGTTCACGTTAAGCCTTTACTATTCCTATGAAAAAATAGTACTGAGATACATTCTTATTTTTACATCGAATAATCTCTACTACTAATGTTACATAAAGGGTGTAAAAAGACACTTAACGAAGCCGTTAACTACGCATACTGCAGTTCTAACTAAGTCGCTTTACGCCTCAGAATACAGAACAAACCAGAAGCCGTCAACGCGGTTAATACTAAAGCAACTCAAACCATTCTTAACTAGAGTAGTATGAAATTTCTACGATCACTCAATTTTGGCACGTGGCATGTCGTGACGTATTTACGAGTATCAATTTTAATTT